GCTGAGAAATTTTGTCACAGGGCTGCAAATTGTGAAAGGCATTGAAAGACCACTTAAGTTATATTGTGACAATAAATCAGCTGTATTGTTAAGGAAAGAGTACAAAGTGGACAGATTTCCATAGAACACTTAAGGACAAACTCCATGATAGCATATCCTCTAACTAAAGGACTTCCGCCCAAGGTCTTTCATGAGCATGTTGCTCACATGGGTGTTTTACAGTTTGAGGAATTTGTGGTTTAGTGGGAGTTAGTCACTTTCATATATTTTATGTTCTATGTTTAATTTCATATATGTATACATTGTTTTTTGGACATATTTGGTTATCTATAGATATGCGGTTTTTTCGTTCATTCATTACACTTTGTACATTAAGGATATTATATCGATCTCAATAAGTTAAAGTTTGGACCAGTTGAAAATAGACGTGTACAGATCACCTTCACGTAATTTTTCATGCTACACATTTCATGATGAATCCATGTCATTTGGTTATGTTAGGATGAGTGATCATTGTTGGTTTTAGTTGCGATGATGCAATGAAAAGCTGGTTTGGTTCTATATCCTGATATGATTAATGGACAGGACTTTTGGAGTATGCTAAAGGAATATAATGGCAATTTTGAGCTCATAAAGTCTAACACATTTGTAAGGTTGTAAGGACATATATATTTGTGACCAGTGGGAGATTGTTGGAAAAATTTGGGTCATGTATATATATGATACATAATTTAAATGTGTTAGGGTCATTATTTATTAAGCCAAATAATAAAGTGATCTGACTAAATTAAAGTTTTGGCTAAAAGCATATGTCATGAAAATAAAATTGTGTAGAGACCATAGAGCAATTTCTAATTTGATGAGGGGCCAAATTGGAAATACTAAAACTTAAGTAATTAACCTAATTCTGGTTATCTAAAGGGTCATGGTCCCCTTCTGAGAGCACGTAGACAGAACGTAAGTATCAGTCCTGTTCCTTTCTTTCTATCCCCATCAAGAGAGAAAATCAAGAGGGAAATACAGGTGCTCTTCAGGTGGAAGACCATAAGATCAATACAGTGCTCTACAAAGACATCATCATTATGATTAATTCAGGTACGCTTTCGCATTCAGTTTACAACATGTTTATCAGTATGGGATTATGTTTATGTTTGATCGTTAGAATCAAAATCAGGATTATTATTATTGTTATTGTTTTTCCAACATAAACGTGATTGAATTCATAAAACAAACATAATGATAATCAATGTACTTGGGAGTGGGTTTTGCATCCATATACTTAAATAGTACATCTTGAACGCAAAATATTAAATTTATCAAGTTATTCAGAATTTGATCAAATCATCCAAATTGGAAAAAATGTTGAAGACAATGATTAATGTTGTAAACATCAATTATGATTGAGAACCATCTTTAGTTAAAACAAATCATCTTTTAGAAAAAAAAACAATTAACATGAAAACAAATCATAATATTTAAGTACATGTTTAATTATAGAGAATCCATATAAATTTGATTATTATTATTATATATATAATCCGATTGATAAAAATTTTAAAATAAAAATTTATAATTTTTTAGTATTATTAGATTATAATATTATTAGTATTGAACTGTTGAATATTTTAAAAATATGTATTTTGGAGAATATATTGAAGTCTAATTTAAAAATAGAGATAAAAATATAAATTGAAAGAGAAAAAAAAGTTAAGAATATATATATATATATATATATATATATATATATATATATATATATATATATATATATATAATAGAGACAATAATTTAAGATGGTTGTGAAAAAAAGTTTACAATAGTAGATAAATAAAATAAATTTAAAAATTATAATTAAAAATTTTATTTGAATAGAATGAAAAATAAAAGTTGAATTAAATTAAATCTTCAATTTATAATGTTCACAAATTTATTTTCATTTAAAAACACCATATTTTTGTTATGTTGAAAATTATTTTTTTAATCTAAAATAAAAAAATTATAATATGAAAGTAGATAAATCCTAAATATTTATGAAAAATGGTTATTTCTATTCACATTCTATTTTTTATATTTATTCCTATTCAATTCATTTTGCCTTGTTGTATATTTCTTTTTAATTTAAAAATAATATTCGCGAATTCTAAGTGGAGAACCCGTACAAAAATTAATTTTAAAAATTACAATAATTAACATGTAAAAAAAGAAAAGAAAAAAACATTAGAATAGATGGAAAAAAAAATGAACGAGTGATATTATTATTAGAGAAATATGTGTTTCTTGTATAAAATGATTCGATTAATCTATTTCTTACTTAAGTATGAATCATTTAAATATTATGTTGATTGTTTTAATTTTATCTAACAAACATAAACGTTTTTCAATTTTATAGGATTATGATAAAATCAACACTAATCATTCAATAATTAAAATAAATCTTGAATTAGATCATTCTAGAAGAATGTAAAGTAAATGACAAGAAATGTATTAGCACAATGAAAGTGAATCACTCAAAAGTGTAAAGGAGCAAAGAAAGTAATACAGAAAGATAAATTTAGCTCGTTACTAAGGATAAAATATAAATTAGTAAAGAAAATTAATAAAAAATATTATTCAAATGTGAGAAGGAAAGTTTCACATCATGAAAATTATATGTTATGACTTATTTTTCCTATTATAAAAGAAATAACATGTCTATCTTATAAATAAGTCGATTAAAATTATGACAATAAATAAGAATGGTAAAACGGGTCGATCCGCACTGTTTTGGCCGTCCCGCCTTTGGTCCACCAAAAGCGGGGTGGAGTGGCTGACCCGTTATAGTCATGACGGGTTGTTGATCTTGGTCTCGCTTCGCCAAGGAGTGGACTGACTCGCCATAATTTAGAAAAAAATAAATTATATTTTAAAATAAATTTTTTTAATAAATTTAATAATAAGATTGTTATTTGTTTCTCAATACTTCAATATATATATATATATATATATATTATTTCAATTTAATAATATAAATCAATACATTGTTTTAAGAAATTATAATTTAGAACAATAATAAAATTTACATAATAACAAATATATATATATATATATATATAACGTTAAAACTTATAAAATTTATATTTTTTATATCGAAAAATTCAAATACTTATATCTTTTTTATTTGATAAAACATCACATTATTCTTGGTTGAGTAATTCTTACACCTTTAATTCAAGTCATAAGGATACAAATAATGAGTGCTTAGGATGTACAAGGAGAACAAGAGAGAATGTTGTGTTTCAGTAAGGAGAATATTTCCTGTAAGAATGAAACTTTTTTAATTCTCTTTTTAACATTTTTAACTTTATATATTATCTTTATAATTAATTTTATTACAATAAAAAAATATTTTTTTATTAATTAGGCAGGTTATGCGGTCGGCCCGCCTCGTCCCACGAGTTGACCTGCTGAGCTTGGCAGTGGCAAGCCAAAGCGGGCTCACCAACCCACCCCACCATATTATGGCGGGCCGACCTGCCAGTGCCTAGCCCGTTTTGTCATCCCTAACAATAAAATACAAGATAACACATTTAATAAAAATAGTTTTTCATTGTAAAAATTGAAGATTAACTTAATATTAAGATATACATTTGTTTAATTAGTGAATATCCCGATATAATATGAGAATGAGTGGTGATATTTTGACAATCGAAACCATACAACCCTTCAAATAACTCACTTTTATTAATATAATAATCTATAGAATAATTTAATAAAAATAAAAATAAAGTAAAACTATTATTATAATATTAAAAGATAGTTGTTCATAGGAGTTGTATGAATTTGGGTTGTCAAAGTATGGTTTTCCTATGAGAATAATATATAATAGTATTTAACAATGAATGAAATTTTATTTAGAATTTATTTAATATATTGAACAATATTTAATTATATTAATATCATTATGTTTGTATGTTGATATAGTTGATATATCATCATTAATGTATCACTTCATAGAGAGTACTTATATTATTATGTATAATGTGTTTTATCACTTAGTAGGAATGTTCTCTTATATTACAATTAGTAAATGTGATCTAATTAACTAGATATTGATGTTAATTACTTATAACTTAATCTTAATTCGTTTACATATATAATGTAATTTGTACATAGATCGGTTTGATTTAACTCTATTTAGCTTAATTTGATTACACCCATAGGGTGCTATAAAAGTGGTGGGAAAGAGAAAGAAATTCATATGTTATGCTTTGATTTATTTAATTTGTATTTATTACGATAATACAAGCAACTTTTTATATTCTGGTTATTTCCATAAATTTCAGAGGTTACGTGGTATCATTAACTTCTTAACTCTAATACCATTTTTTCTTATGGGTGGTACAGTTTGCCCTTATGGAAGTGGTGGCGGCGTTAGAATGAGGAAGAGTGTCTTCTGGTCTTGTCCCAAAGTCTTCATCCACATCATTCATGCCAACACCTACCACATCATTACTTTTATTTTTGAAATTTCTATAATATAATAGGTCGATTTGAGTTTATAGAAAAACATTACTTCTTAAACATTAACTTAAATTATCAACCAGTTAAATTAGAATACCACATACATCTGCTTAGAAAACGATTTTTTTATGAGTGATAAAATATTAAAGAAAACAGTTCGATGAATAATGATCCCGGATTATAAAAAACTTCTGACCAGTGCATAGAAAATAATTTCTAATATAATATATGTATTTTTTAAATAATATCTTAAGATATTTATTCATATCGTGATCTCTCATTCGATAAGAACTTGTATATGCGGAAGGAAGTATGTGTATGTAATATAGTACCAGACATTATTAAATAACATGCTTTGATTGAAGTTGGTTACATTACATAACACGTAGGAAATCAAAGCTTTACTAGAAACCAGAAAGGTAACAACTAACAAGTTGTCACTTATTTGCATTCATCACACACATAGCACATCAGATGGTGTGCAGGTGGGTCCCATTTTGCTAATAAGGTTGGTTTGGTAAGATGTGGTGGAAAGCTGCAGATACGCCTTCGTATATTGCATCAGAAACTGCTGTCACAAACCGTAACACATCCTTTGGAACATAATCCTTGATCTGATCGCTGTAATGATTTTGAACATCACGGAATCTGTCCCATAACATAACTCCTCCATAGTTAGAAGCTTGCTTTACATAAGGAAGCACCTCATGAATGAGCACATCTGGTTGTATATAGCCACCACTAGGGGCTGCGTCAGGTGCAGCTGGTAATCCCAAGAAGACGGTGTTGTTGGGAAGAACGTAGGAGGTCCAAGTGTTCCATGAACTAAAAAGTAATGCAGTATTGCCAGGTGAGTATTGACATGGAGGGTTATTGTAAAACTGAACAAACACATAATCAAGAATGCCAGTTTTGATAGCTTTGTCGAGGTAGTGATCTGGCATGAAACACTGTGGTGCTGCGGACAAGTAAAAGTACTGGTTTTGATGTCGGAGAACGTCCAGTTCCTTGACAAGGTCCTCCCAATACAAGTTGGAACCACCTTCAATGTCAAGATCGATGCCGTTCAATGTTACACTTCCTAGTGGGCCAAATTGGCCACTGAGGAAGTTTCGAAAGAGGTAATGGGCAACGTCTTTTCCGTCCTGGGATGAGCATAGGGAGTAGCTTCCGACGGCTCCTCCCAGGGAAAGCAACACTTTGATACCTTTCTGCTGGCAGTGTTCTATTTCGGGTTGGAGTTTGGTGCAAGGGCTCCACTCTCCACAGTGGCCTGCGAAGTTCCATGATGGTGGTCTTCCACAACCAAAGTCGTTGAGGAAAGCTAGGAGCACAATCTCATAGTTTCCAGTGTCACATGTAGAAGTCAAGGTGCCATCGCCATTGTTTTGCCCCCAGTAGATGGCGATGCCACCATTGCTTGCCTGTGAAGACTTTATGGTGCAGAACAATGTGAAGAGAATAAGCATGAGTATTCTTCTTTGGGAAGCCATGTGTTTTTGGTTTCTGTGTTTAGCTCACTGATGGCATCAAAGCCATAGCCATCCATTCTATTTATAAAGTGAATTTTGGTAGAAAAGTCTTTAAATTACTAATTTGCCCATTCATATTTTATTTGTAAAAAATTTACATTCACTGAATCATTTGCAAACATGATTTTCATATATTCAAGAATTTGCTTCTAGAAAATATTATTCACGTGTCTTAAAAATATTGTTACGTCGAATTATTTTTTAAACAAATTTTAATGATACCCAAAGAGGAATTGATGAAAACTTTGTTTTGAGTTAGAAAATTTATTAAGTCATTGTTATCTTACTAATTCCAATATATTTTATATTTATACATAATCATTTAAAATTGAATAACTTATTTATTTAAATTAACATATATCATAAAAAATTTGAAAGAAAAAGAATAAATAGAGATAATATAAAAGAAAATTTAATAAATTGTTGTATTTTGGATGGATACTTATGAATAGCTATATGAGTAGAGTAGTCAGTGATATTATACATGCAAGAACCACTCCCATTTAAATTTTATGCTTATCATCAATTCTCTCTTTTAAATAAATTTTGTGAATTTGTCTTTTTATGGTTTTTTAGGCCTTTTTACAGGAAATTGTCAAATTTGAATAAAATTACAAAAAACGTCAAATCGTTGATTTTTTTTTTTCAATCTACCATACAATTCAATTAAATGTTCATGGATAACACAGTTTGCGCATTATTTACTTCAATAGCACAATATTTATGTATGGTTGGAATTAGGGATGAAAATTAAACTAAACTCGTACCCGTGGACACCGACTCATCCCGACTCCGAGTTTGACGGAGAAAATTCGAGTTGACTAGGGACGGATGCGAGTTCGAGTTTTCCCGCTTTAAAAGTCGGGACTGGGATGGGTAATGCAATCTCGACCCCGTCCACGCCCGACTTTATATTTAAATTTAAGATTTAAAATATTAATATTTTAAATGTATTTTCTTTACTTTTTTTATTATATATAAGGTCATTTTTTAATATTTCACCAATTTTTATAAATATAGTAAATACAAATATATTTAATATATATATATATATATATAATATTTAAATTTTATTTAATATAAATTAGTTGAAGAAAAAAATTGATAAAAATGATAATTTATAGGAATAATAAATCAAAAATAAATTTATATAACATATTATACGAATAATAATTTATTTAATAATAATTTTGATGTAAAAAATTAGAAAAATACAAATAAATTACAAGATTATAGATTTAATATTTAAATAAATTTAATAAATATAAATTTATATATAATATATATATATATATATATATATGTGTATATAATAAAATATTTAATAAATAGATGTATTTGTATATTTAATAAAGATATATATATATATATATATATATTTTGTATAGATTTTATAAATATATAGTCATATTTTTATATTTAATTAATATATATTTATATATTTATATTTTTGTATTTATAGATATTTATATTCATGATATAAAATATTAAAAGATCACAGATTAATGGTGCATAATTGAAACAATACATGTTAATATAAAATTTAACTAAATTAGAAATAATACAAGATAAATGGTTATTGAATAATCATATTATAAATCGCTGAAACAAATGTAGATCTTGTTATCCCGTGTTGACCAACGTATGTTCTATCTTCTAAGTCACAAATGATTTCGTCGGATGTTACCGTTCCTATAGTCTTAGCTTGAATAAACAATTCAATATTTCCGCATATTTATTCACGTTACATAGTTAGGTGTAGAGATTTTGTTTTTTTCTACAGCTTGATCATTTGAGTCATATTAGCGTTAATTTTTATCTCGTACCGACAATGGAGGATCTTGAATATTAATCTTACGGGACCAAATAATATATTAATAAATAATAAATAAATACAAAAGAAAGAAAGAAGATGAAATGGTGAAAGGATAAAATTGTACATATATACTTAAATATATTAAATTATCATTAAGTTTGAAGGGGACAAAATCATAAATTATATGAAAGTTACAAAACTAAGGAGGGGCTAAGAGGATAAAATTGTAAATATACAAGTAAATATATTAAATGTTCATTAAGTTTGGGGGGTCAAAATCATAAATTATATGGGAGTTACAAAACTTTGGAGGGGTCATGACCCCCTCAGCTTCCAAGAAGATCCCTCACCGTGTACTCGAGTCGCGAATGATCTTCCGGTTTCGCACCCAAACCGAACGACTGTAGTTGATTTCAGTAATTTGTTTGCGATCTCCATAGTGAAGTACTTGAGTAATGTTTTCATATAATTGAGCAAAAGACCATGTATGTTAGATTATCATTCTTCTAGGATTTAAACATGTATAAGTAAGACCAAAACTATTTTGACTTTCCATGATGGTTGCACATTGAATAAACCCACCAAAGTAAATTATAGTTTCAGAGGAAGAGATATTGTTTGAGTTTGCACAAAAGGTAGAAACAGAGGAGTTTAAAAACACCATTATTTCATCAATGGATCTTTGATATTGAACATATAATTCAATAATGTTATCTAAAAAGAATTTTGACTTCCAAGTAATCATGTTAGATACATCAATATCAGAAAATAGTTCAGTAACATCATATCTAATTAAACCATCACTTATTAGTTTTGGTTGATGGTAATACAACGTGTTGATTGAGATATCTACAAGAATCCCTAAAGACATGTGATAATCACATTTTGATACATCATGTCTTTATTTGTTTTTGGCGAAATTGAGTCTTATTAGTATTATATTTTTAGTGTATTAGTTTAGATTTGTGTTAGGTAGCCCTTTAGGATTTAATTGTAAAATCTTGTAAATTTCCGCAATAAAATTCTGCTTTGACATTGATTCTTGTACAGGTCATTTATGAAACTATACAACTCGGAATTGGGCAAACTTGGTATCCCTAGAAAGCTAAGAGGGAGATCTACAACTTCTATGTTGAAGGGAAAACCCAGTTCGGACTTTTTAAGGCCCAAACATTCACCACAAATTCTCGGCCCTGTGCAGGATTCTACATATTTTCCTGTTCTATATTGTTTTAGTTGATTAGTTGTTAAACAAACTCATTAGTGGGTTAGCCCATTAGTTTAGGCCCAATTATCATGTCTATAAACTTCTGTAGCTTACATTAAAAGAAAAAAGAGGTTCTTTTTCTGCCATTTTTTTATTAGAATTCAAAATATAGATTACAGAACTTTCTTATACTCCTTTTACTGTTCATCTTTTCTTTTTTTTCTTCTCTCTCGATAAAAAAATTCAAATGTTTGTTCCCATTAGTTCAACATTATCGATTGAAATGGAGAACTAAAAAGTTACACCGATTCAAAAAAAACAAAACGCATAAAATAGGTATAAATCTGAATTCATCTCTTACTTTGAATTATTGTTGTTTCACGATTGTGAATGCATTATTAAATACAAATTATTTTCGAATTAATTGAACAACGTATCGGATTCAATACGGTAATGGATTCATATAATGCGATTGCATTTTTCGTTCCTAATTCGGAAATAGGTTGTAATTGGATTCGGTTTAATTGAGATTGCTGCGGATTTGTGATTCTTGAATTGGATTTTCATTAAGTGTGATTCAATTTTGCTGCTATTATAATTTTTTTTTCATACAAACTGTTTGATAAAATTCTTCCCAATTCTTTTATTAGTTTGTGATAATTCAACAAAATACAATTGGTTTATGTCTTTGTGATTCGACCTAGGTTAATCCCACTATTTTGCAAAAAAATCTTGAGAACCTAGTATTATTTGATAGTGCCTCGACAACGCTATCAACATGCATTTTTTTTCCTTCGGGATGATAAATGTGCAACTATGTGGAATTCGAAAAAGTTTAAGAGATGTACATTGAAAGTACACCCCTTCCTCATTTGTTGTGATTTTCCCATTTACAAACACTGCTGCAAGATAAAAGTTATCAAAATTCTGAATATTTATGATGTCAAATTCCTCCATTGAAGAGTAAAGAGAAGAATAACACAAAGATTGGATATGAGTGTTGATAGGCAAAATGAGTTAAGGAATTTTTTATGAGACCAAACTTGGATTTATATATCATTTACTATATTATGAAGATGAAAAAGCTCCCATAATAAATTATTGTACTTTGTATTTTAAGTTGAGTCTTAGAATGCATAATGATGACTTGACTTTGACGTTAGACAGTATATATTAAATATGGATCATTGATGATTCAATTTTGACCATTACTTTTTGTTGACACCTTGAATAGTATATGGTACAAAAGAATCTTAACAATATTTTGATGTTGATCTTGAACAATGTGCATTAGTGCGTAATATAGAAGAGTCTTATCTTGAACAATATTTCATGCATCTAGGTTGGTTTTGGACCATACTGATTACATCTTGATTTTTGATGTTTTGTGATATATATATATATATATATATATATATATATATATATATATATATATATATATATATATATAAGAATCTCAGTGATTAAAATTTTAAAATAAATATAAATAGCATGAAACTTTTTTAACAGAAAATTTAAAGGAAATAAGGTTATCACTTTTAAGAAAGTTATTATTTGCAAATAATACGATTATGTATCATTGAACCATAAACATAAATATTTTAAAATATTTTACTTAATATACGTTTTAGATGAATGTTAAAAGTTTATATATTATTTTAGTATTATTAGATTATAATATTATTAGTATTGAACTGTTGAGCATTTTCAAAATATATATCTTTCGAGAATATATTAAAGTCTAGTTTATAAATAGAGATAAAAATATAAATTGAAAGAGAAAAAAAAGGTTAAGAAAAAAAATATAACTAAAATATATGTTACAATGAGTAAATGTGATCTAGCATTGATGTAAATTACTTATAACTAACTTAACATAAACTTAATTAGTTTTACATAATGTAATTTGTCCAAAGATTGGTTTGATTTAACTCT